CACACACACACAAATACACACACTCAAAAGGAAGCACAAAAAGGATGAAAACAAGAACCCATCGTCCTTTGTGTGTGTGGAGCACAGAGGATCGGGCTCAGGCCCTCGTGCTGGCCAGGCAGGCCCCTACGCCACTGAGCCAGCTCCCAGGCCCCAACCACCCTTTTAAGGTTTTCTTCAAGCATGCTTCCCACACCACGTGCATTGTATGATCATACTTGATACATGGGGACAGGGTTTGATTTGTGCCTACTGAGAACCAGTAGGAGAAATTTCTCCTGTCATTTTTTAATTACATTTTTAGGGGAGATTTATTGTTTGCTTTTGGTGCCGAGGACTGAAACTGGGGCTTCCAGCTTGCTAGGCAAGCATTCTATGGCTGAGCCAAATTCCCAGCCCCTTTAATTACATTAAAAAAAATAAGTTTTGTTTTGTTTCTTTGTGACAAGGTCTGACCTTGTAGCTGAGGCTGGCCTTTGATCCTCCCGCCTCAGCCTCCTAAGAGCTGGGATTACAGGTGTGTGATTTCTCCTGTCATTAAGACGTTCTCCCATCACAGCCTGCTGTGGTGATAAATGTCTGCAGTCCCAGCACTCTGGGAGGCTGAGGCAGGAGGCTTACAAGTTTGAACCAGCTTGGTGCCTTCATAAGAACCTGTTTCAACAAACAAACAGACAAATACCAAAAGCAACAACAACAAAAATAATGGCTGAGGATATAGCTCAGTGCATAGACCTGGCTTCAATCCCCAGAACTCAAAATATCAAACCAAACCTAACTAAACCAACTTTGCAAAGACAAAAACAACACAACAAAACCCTTCCATCTTTATTTGGTACAGGGTCTCACTTCACAGCTCAGACTCTTAGTGATCCTCCTGTTTTCAGCCTCCCTACCCCTGGGATTATAGGCACACACCACCATGCCTGGTCTTGATGGCCGGCTCAGCCTGCCCAGGGGTGTGGCCTGCGGGGCTGTGGTGCCAGGGATGGAACCCTGGTCCCTGACAACTGCCTAAGCAGGTGCTGAGTCGGCTGAACTATCTCACCGGCCCCAAACCCCCCTTCCATCTTTAATGGCTGCATAAGCAATCAGAGGGATATGTCCTATGTTGAGCACTCATTTTTTTTTTTTTTGCTCCGAGTACCTTCAGGGCAGGTTTGGCTGGCTTGAGTTGTGGGGATTGAACCACAGCAACCTGAGCCTGACTGCTTTGTTGAAGCAGCCACTTAAAGAACTGAGCTAAGGGGCAGGCCCCCTGACCACTGTTTTTGTTGTTGATTTGTTTTTTGAGACCTGTCTTGCTATGGAGTTCAGGCTAGCCTTGGACTATGTAGCCCAGACCAGTCTTGAATGTGCTGCAATTCTCCTTCCTCAGCCTCCTGAGTGCTGGGCTTACAGGTCTGACCACCATGCCCTGCAAGTCTGTCACTGTAGTAAACAGGAAGGAGGTCGGGTCCTAGGAAAACACCTGCATTTCTGGTGGTACCAAGTAGCTTGGAAATCAGGAACCTGCTCCAAGCAGCCACCAGGGGGCAGCAGACACTGCAAAGCCAAGTAGGAGACTGGTCCCAGTGGCCAGCCAAGTCTACCCTGTGCTGAGCTACACTGTGCTGGGTAAACTGGTCCCTGGATGTGACAAGACCCAGACAGGGGAAGGGACAGCCACACCATCAGAGTCGCTGGAAACTGCAGCCATAAGAAGACAGAGGTGGTAAGGAACAATCTTTGTGGAGCACCTTCCTGGTGGCAGCCCACACTTGCCAGCCCACACTTGGGAGGCTCCCTGGAGGAGATGACTTGTGGGTGAGGTGTGAGCAGGAGCCAGTTGGGAAAGGTGTCCCAACACAGGGCACTGAGGCTGGTGTGACACACGGCAGACTTTCCCACCAGAGCCTGGGAGAGGGCACAGGAGTCACAGTAGGGAGCCACGGAAGGATCTGAGACCTAACATGACCACGTAGGGCATCTGGAGAGACCCCAGCCTCTGGAGGTTCTCACTGTGCAGAAGTCCCTATGGGGCCGGGGCCATACTCACCCCCTCTCTGTGACTCGATCTCCTTCTTGGCCTGCTCCAGGATGCTCTTGATGGCGTCGTCCGAGCCTGTCTCTGGTGTGCGGATTCTTGGGGTGATACTACCTGGGGAAAGCAAGGGGGCATCTGTTGCAGGGTGGAGTCCATCTGGGAGCTGAGTGTGATGGGTTCCAGGGCCAGGGGTGTGAGGATCAGACTGCCTGTGTGTGGCAGGGCCACCACTCACTCCGCATGTCGAACCGTGTCTCTGCAGTTGACTTGGGCCTGAGCTCACACTCAAGACCACAGTGGCAATGACAGCAGTGATGGCAACTACCTGGGTGGCGTGCTTGGGCAGGCGCCACTGCTAGGTGAAATGTTCAGTGCTTTGCACCCACTTAAACCTTAGGACCCCCAGGAGGCTGTCAGATAGGGACACCGAGGCACCAGGAGGCAAGGTCACCTGCCCTGGGTGCTGGCAGCAGCCATGGCCCATGCGCTCACCTCGCTGCCGCACCTGGATGGTCCGCAGGGCCAGCACGTTCTGTTCATCTGACAGGAACTGCTTCATCTTGATGAAGGGCTCCTTGCCCTTCACTGTGAGCTTGCGCCAGGGCTTGGGCCTGGCCAGGATCTCGCTGACCGAGCCCTGCGACAGCCCCAGCACGTAGTGGCCAAACACCCGCTGCCCAATGTTGTGTTTGAGGAGCTGCTCCTTCACCTGGAAGGCGATCTCCGCCGTGTCCAGCTGCTCCTCCTCGGCCCCGGCTGCCACCGTGCTGCCCCCTACACCGTCCGCCTGCTCAGGGGCTCCAGAGGGCTCGGGACCGGGGGCTGGGGTGGCAGGGCCCACAGGGGGCTTGGTGCTGTAGAAGGCTGGTGGGAACACCAGCAGGCCGCCCGCCTCACCCTTGAAGGCTGCTGGGGGCATCATATGCTTGGGCAGCAGCGTGTCCCCGGCCAGTCTCTCCCCGGATGCCAGGCTGGGGAAGGGGGACAGCGAGAAAGTCCGGGGACCATCTGGCCCGAGGCCAGGGCCCAGCAGGGGCTGTCCAGGGCTGGGGGACAGGGGGTCTTCAGGCCCTGGCGGAGGTGGAAGCTGCTGTGGGGAGGGGTAGGGTGGTTCGGCCACCAGCGAGTCCTTGATGGAGTCATCTTCCGATGGGTCCTCCTCTAGAACGGCAGGACAGACAGGCATGCAAGGACCACAAGGGAAAAAAGAACCAGGAATAGAGAGGAACACAGATGGGAGAATGCGAGACAGGGCAGAGACAGGGAGGGAGACAGAGATAAAGTGAGAGTTAGAAGCCACAGGCCGGGGTGGGGATGAAGGGGATTGAAGGAAGGAGACAGAGGTAAGGAAAGACAGAGGGACACATACATGGGGACAGTGCAGACAGAGGGTGGGGGAGAGGGAGGGGACAAAGACAGGCGGATGGGGGAAGGGCTATGCACTTCCAGCAGCCAGAAGCCACACAGGACAGATCCCCCCAAGTTCTCGCACCCTTCCCCTTATCCTGGGCTTGTGAGCTGGGGCTTGGTGTGTCAATCTGGGGGCAGGGAACCCAGATTTTCCACTGCCTGTACAGGGCCCCTTCCAGGGGAACCCACCCTGGGCCGGCTCATGTTCTTCGGGTGTCCAGATCCTTGTGGGGCCTTAGGACTGAGTGTGTGATGCTGGAGGGACAGGCGCACAGTTGTGCTGCAGACCCCAGCCCCTGCTGCCCCCAGCTGCCCACCCTGAGCTCGTCCTTCCTCCTTACCAGGGCTGGTCAGGAGGCTGGGCTTCTCCAGAAGGAACTTCTGCGAGGGGAAGAAGGCCTCCTTCGCCATGAGCAGTGAGTCCTCGGCCTTGGTCATACCCTGAGGAGACAGGAAGCAGGGCTGAGAAGGCACAGCTGGCAGAAGGCTGGGGCAGCCTGCCCTTGGCGATGAGGACAGTGGCAGGGACGCTCACCTGGGGGAGGCCACAGGTGCTGGAGGCCAGCTTCATGGCTTTCAGGATGCTGTGGAGGAAGTGGGAGACCAGAGGTCAGCCAGGCCCCAGGCCTGAGGAGAGGCCTCCCTGAAGACACTGGCCCCTAACTGGCCAGGGCGTCTGTTGGGGCAGAGGGAGAGCAGCCCGTATATCCATTATGGTTGGTTTGTTTATTTATTTATTTTGCAGTAATGGGGATTGAACTCAGGACTTTGCACTTGCCAGGCAGGCATTTATCCTGTTTTCTATTATGGATGGAAAACATTTGGAAAAAGAAAACTTCTGGGGCCAGCGAGATGGCTCAGTAGAATAAGTGCTTGCCTGGGGCCTGAGTTCAATCCCCGGTTCCACCACAAAAAAAAAAAAAAAAAAAAAAAAAAAAGAAAGAAAGAAAGAAAAAAAAAAAAAGAAAGAAAAGAAAACTTCCAAAAAGCTCCAACAAGAAAAACTTGAATTTGCCTCAAGCTGTGCTGAGGAACACCTGAATCCCCTGAAAGGGCTAGGGTGTGGCGTTGCATCAGGAGCCCAGGAGGAGGTATGAGGGTCTGCAGACACCACACCAGCAGCTGGAAGGGACTTTGACACCTGAAGGTTTTGGCATCCTTGGCAGTCCTGACCACAATGCCCTATGGATACCAAGAGATGACCGTATGGCTGACCCCTGGCACCCACAGGTCTGAAGGTGGGGCTTGCTAACCAGGCCACGTCCCTGCAGGCAGCCACATCGGCTGACCCCAAGAGCGGCTGAGCTGTTTGGGTTGCATGTCAGTGCCTGATCCCCACACCTGTGACAAGACAGCCACCTGGCATGACCACTATTGGCCAGGTGTCGGTGGGAGGACAGGAGCCTCAGAGAGGCCGCCAGGATGTAGGGAGGAAGGGAGGGAGGGAGGCAGAGAGCCTGTACCTCAGTTCTGTCTTGATCTCTTCATAGTCGGATTGTGCCTGCAGCTTTTCTTCCAGCTTCTAGAAGTGAAACCCACAGGGTGAGGCTGGCCCGGTACTCGGTTGCACACCTCTGCCCGTCTCCTCCCCCAGGACCTGCCTCTATGGCCTCCGACTTGGCTGTGAGCTGCCGTTCCAGGTCTGCGATCTGGCTGGCCGAGGCCTCCTCCAGCTCCTGCAGCGAGTTTCGGAGGTGCTGCGCATCCTTCAGCAGCCGCAGGATCTCCCTGTCCTTGGAGGCCAGGGCCGCCTCCAGCCGAGGCCCGGAGCACAGCGTGAAGCCCACCTTCTCCTGGGGGCAGAGTGGGACCATGAGGGGCTGCTGATGGGGGATAAGGGCTGCAGGCTGGCCTCCCTCCACAGCCCAAGCAGAACGAAGTTTCCATGTGTGGATCTGGATGCACAGGGGGAGTTCACACCAGAAACTTCCATGTGCTGCACACTTACTGTACCTACGTCTCCTCTCATGTATGTATGGTGCGTGGCAACGGAAACTTGGTGAATAAAGAGCGACCACGAAGGGAAGCAGCCAGCCAGTGGGGGCCGGCACCGCAGCAGAGGGAAGTGCGTGCACAAAGCTTCCAGTTTCCGGTTAGTCCAGGTCTTACCCTAGGCTTTGTCCCTATTTGAGACCCTCAGGCTTAGACAAGTGACCTCGCAGCCATAGGTCACATTAAAGATGGTTCCTTCTGCCTATTCGCTGATAGCCCCAAGTCCTGGAGCTCCTCCAGGTTTTGGGAAATGGCCCCTTTGTTCCAGATGAAGATGGAGAAGTTGCTGTTTGAGGGATGTCAGGTTAGGCCAATCTCAGACTCAGCTCCAAATGCATTTTAGAAGGATTAAACTTACACACACACACACACACACACACACACACACACAACCCACCACTACCAACCAAACCGGGCTTTCTTCCATGGAGATAAATGCCAATTAAAACAGGAAGCGGATGTCATTAATACATTAAATTAATTAGCATCGAGCGCCACTGTTGTGCTCAGAAAAGCTCACCTCCCAAACCAGCCCAGCTCCCCGTGGCTGATTAGCACAGCACTTGCTGGGCTCCAAGGGGGTTAATTAAGAGCCATTGGTGAATTCCTCTCGGAGGCGTCCCCCGGAGCTCTGGCTCTCCACCGCCTGCCTCTCACTACTCTGTGCTGTGCAGCCAGCCAGGAGCACGGGTGCACGCCGTCTGCCAGGACACAGCCAGGCTGCCACACCTGCGGCTGCAGTGAGCGCAGACTGCTGCACCATACTGGCTTCTTGAGCTCACAGGCACACGTGCACGGCCGTCAGTCACGCAGACCCTCACAGAGACACATTGCCAGGACACACACGCACACACACACACGCACGCAGGTTCAAAGAGGCTGCAAGGTCTCATGACAAGATGACCAAGGGCGTCAGGCTCCACTGAGCACAGGCTAGGGCCGAGCCCCATTAGGGGAGCTTCTTCACTAGAGACCTCTCAGTAACCCTAGCAGGAGGAGTTGCCTCCTTCCAGGAAGGAAAATAAGGAAGCTGAGGCACAGATTAAGTATGGCCACAAGCCCAAAAGTGGTAAGCACACACACACACAGACACACAGACACACTCCAATGCTCAGAGAGAGACATGGAGACATGGGCCTGGACATCAGGTGGAATGAAGACTGCAAATCACCCTGTGGGAGGAATCATGAGTCCCAGCCTGGGTGTGTAGTGATGTGGAAGGAAGGCTGACTAACTCACACATGGAACCCCAGGCTCTCTGTGGAGCAGCAGTGGAGACCACTAACAATGGCAGAGGGGTGCAGTGGGGTACCTCTGACCGAAGTCATTTGTCAAGAAAGGAGAGCAGGGCTGGGTATGGTGGAGCACACCTAAAATCTCTGCACTAGGGAGGCTGAGGCAGGAGGATCACTGAGTGTCTTAGGACGGCCTGGACTGCATAGGGAGAGCCTATCAAAAACCAAAATGATAGCAAGACCCCAAAGGGGCACTGATCAGGAGGAAAGAGAAAGATGTTGAGGAACCAGGCTCAACATTCAGACCTGGGGGTGGATGATGGAGGTGTCTCTCCACAGCATATGGCTGGTGGAAGGCCCTGCTGGGTCACCCTGGCAGGTTTTGGGGACCTAGGGCTGAGCAGTTGTCTACAGGGCCTGGGTTTCTCAGTCCTGAGCCGGGTGTGGCCTGCACCCACTAGCTCCATCTCATGGCAGCCGCCAGGATGGCTTGGCTGCCACACTGCCACAGGACTGATCTCTGGTCCAAGAGAGCTCCTGGCGGTTTGGGGTAGCAGGGCTGAGGGAGGTCTTCAGAGGAAGACACTAGACTTCCAGCTAAACATAGACACGAGGAAGCTGGAGCTCAAAGCGTTAAGAACTGTGGATCAATTTTTCCCCTCTGCTGGTGGAACAGGTCACAGACCTTGGCCATGGTGATGCCCCAGAACATACAGAGATCCACACGTGTGTTTGCTATTTCCCAGAGACACACACAAGCCACCCGTGGAACACGTCCTTCCTCGGCCCCATCCTTACCCCACTGGGTGCCTGTGGGGAGCAGCAGGCCAGGCGGATGGAGCTGTTGACTGACGCGAGCTGCTCCCGGAGACTCTCCACCTCGCGCTGGGCGGCCTCTGCGCGCTGGGAGGACAGGGTGTGCCGAGGAGGTGAGCAGGGTGCAGCCCCACTCCTCCCGTGGGCTGCACAGGCAGCTGCCCCAGACTTGGCCCCGTGAAGACCCGCCACAGCACCCAGGGCTCACTCCTGAGCCGGGGGAAATATGGCTAGATGCTCTGCTGAGGCGACTCTGGGCTCCATGGTGGCACCTGGGTCCTCGAGAGGAGCAAGCACATTGCCTCCCCCTGGGGCTGTAAGGGGGCGGGGCGCTATAGGGCAGGTGCAGCGAGTTTTCACCCATCTCTAGGCATCTGTCTGCTGCGTTGTACATTTCAGCCCTGATGACTCAAAGTTACTGGGGCTCCAGAAACGGAATGGGGTAGAAGTGCTTCCCAGCTCAGGCGCTGCAGGAGGGCCTGAGCAAGTCATTTCCCTTCACACTGTTTCCCTGCTGTGAGCCGGGAGCAATGCTAATGCCAGAAGGGTCCTGAAGCATAAACACTAGAACGCAGCCAGCGTGTTTGCAAACACCCGTCAGCCCAGCTACTCAGGAGGCTGAGGCAGGAGAATCCACAAGCTACAGCCCAGCTTGAGAAACTCAGTGAGACGCTGTATCAAAACAAACAACCCCCCCAACAAACAAAACTAAAAAGGGGAAGGGATATAGCTCAGTGGTAGAGTGCCCTGGGTTTGATCCCAGTACTACAAAGAAAAAAGGATAGCTTTTACTAGGAAATTTTCTAGCCAGATGTGGTGGTGCACACCTGTGATCCTAGTGTTCAGGAGGCTGAGACAGGAGGATTGCCAAGAGTTGAGGGAAGCCTGGGCTACATGGTGAGTTCAAGGCCAGCCTGAACTACACAGTAAGATTCTATCAAAACAAACAAACAAACAAACTGAAAAAGTAAAAAAGTTGAAAAAAATCTGGAAGGAATCAACCAAATGTTAATAATGCAGCCTGCAGTTTTGGAGAGAAGTTTGAGCTCAGATCCTCCAAGCTTCCTACTTGTGTGACCTCAGGTGAAGGGACTCTGTCTAGCCTCAGTTTCCCTATTTGTAATGGGAATTGTAAAAGCAACTATCCTCTGGTGTTGTTTTGCAGATTAAGTGGTTTTGGTAAAACGCATCTAATATGTACAAGTATGTCTATAATTGGCTTATTTTATTAGCATCATTTCAAGCCATTACTTGAAAAATTAGAAAGGCTGTGGTTATTAAGAAACAAAATTTTTTTTTTTTGTAGTGCTGGAAAGAGAAGCCAGGCCCTTATGCCTGCTAGGCCAGGGCTCTGTGCCGAATCACAGGTGGCGCAGTGATAGCTGACCACCACCCTGGCCAGTGGACCCCTAGACCTGCTACAGGCACACGGACCCCCACATGTGCCATGTTCTTCATTAAAAAAATTAATTATTTATTGGCCTTTTTCTAGAAATGGTTTGAGTCAGTTTTGTTTTGGGAAGGGTTGTTCTGAGTGTGGGGGGCCATAGAGAAAAGGTTTTTACATTAGGGTTTTCCGAGCAAATGTAAACGTAACTCGGGATCTGACTAAAATGAAAAACAAGGGCCAGGGCTACAGCTCTGTGGTGGGACACTTTGTCCTAGTGTCCAAAAGGGGCTGCAATCTCTGCGTCACTGGAGAGAAAAGAGGAAGGAGGAGGAGGAGGAGAGGGAGAAGAAGGACGAGGAAGAGGAAGGAGAAAAGCGACAATGAGGCTGGACCGAACTCCAGGTTGATCAGTCATTGAGGACTTCAGAGTGCTCTCCCTTCCCGGAGGTGCAAGTCTATGTCCCAAGAGGGGAGGAGGCCAGGTCTGAAGGCATCCACATCCCCTGGCTTCTGAGCTGGGGCTTAAAGCTGGAGTCTCAGGCCAGGGGTGTAGCTCAGCGGCATGAGCACCTGTCTGGCAAGCGCAAGGTCCTGAGTTTGATTCTTGGTGCATACACATGTACACACACACACGCACACGCACACACACACCCCTGCAGTCTCACCTTTCCCAAGAGATATATCTACAGCTTAAGGTTAGAACTTAGAGTCCTTGCTCTGAATCTCCTAAGATACTTGGGAGAAAGATTCTTTCCATTGTTCTAGCAGAAGATGTCTCTCCAATGTAACTTGAAGATTTGTGGGGGCCCTCACCTAGGGCTCCATCTCCAGTACACCTCAGTGACACTGGCTTCTCATCTGGCCATCCCTGGCAGAGAGCTGGGCAAACTGGCACAGTGACAATCACATCCATGATACTGGGGCTCTGTGTGTCTACCATCCTTGTACCACACTTGGGATGGTATCAATAGCGATACTGAAAACCTAACATGTGACATTTATTTTCTTCTGCATGCTTAATTAGGGGTAGGTTCTTAGTCTTACATTCAGATAAAGAGCTGCTGTGATGGTGCATGCCTGTAACCCCAGCACTCAGGAAGTTGAGGCAGGAAAATCGCTGTAAGTTTAAGGCTAACCTGAACTATACAGTGAGATCCTGTCTCAAGCACACAACCCCCCATCTTCCCCCTCCCCCCCAAAAAAAGAAGAGAAAGAAGAAAGAAAAAAGAGACATTATTATAACTATTTCTTATTCAGGGCTGGGGAGATAGCTCAGTGGAATAAGGGCTTGCCTGCCAAGCACTAGGTCCTGAGTTTGATGTCTGGTACCACCACCAAAATAAAACAAAAACCCAATTTCCTATTTAAATTACTGGCCAGGAAGATGGCTCAGTAGAATAAGCACTTGCCTCACAAGCGCAAGGACCTGAGTTCAATCTCTGGTTTGGCCAAATTACTCTAAGTTTTTTCTTTTTCTTTTTTTTGAGACAATGTCTTGTTATATAGTGCAGGCTGGTACTGAACTCATGATGTAGCCCAGGCTGGCCTTGAACTTGGGACAATCTTCCTACCTCAGCCTCCAGAACGCTGGCATTATGGGCATGCCCAAGCATACCTGGATCTAAGATCTTTTTATTTTTTATTTATTTATTTATTTTTGTATTTTTAGGGAAGGGTCTACAGGGTGTTCAGGGTCTCACTACTAGATCGGACTCATAGTGATCCTCCTGTTTACAGCCTCCCAAGAGCTGGGATTCCAGGCACACGCCACCACACCCAGTCTCAATTGCCATCTCAGTGCACCCTGGGGGCAGGGCTGGTACGGCAGGCCTGGGGATTGAATGCTCGGCTCCTGCACCTGCTTGGAGGTGCTTTAATCTGCTGAGCTATTTGGCCGGCCCTTAATATTTTTTTCTTTCTTTCTTTTTCTTTTTGGTAGTACCAGGGATCAACCCCAGGACCTTATGCTTTCCAGGCAGGCACTTATGCCACTGAGCTATCTCCCTGGCTCTCTAAGATCTTTTTAAAAAGTCTATCAGGTGGGCAAAGATGTGAAAGTCTGAGGACAAGTGATCCCAGTGCAGGCTGTGGGCAGTGGGCCTGCTAATACCCTTGAGGGGGAAACTGGTATGGTCCCACGCAGGGCAGGTCAGCTGCATCAGCCAAATCACAAATGCACATGCCCTGTGCGCAGCAATTCCACTTTGATGATTTACCCTACATACTAGCTTGCACATGCATGAAGTGGTACAAGGTTATTTATGGAGGTACCATCCGTGGCAGGACAAGACTGGAATATCACACGTGTTCATCCATAGGCGACTGTGAACTACAGGCTTCTGCTTACTCATATAAATAAAGTTTTATTGGCACCTGACCATGCTTGTTCATGTACATGTGGCCTGTGCTTTCTTTTCTTTCTCTTTTTTCTTGTTTTGAGACAGGGTCTCGCTATGCAGTTCAGGCTGGTCTTCAACTCATTCCTTAGCCCAGGCTGGCCTTGAACATGCAGCATTCCTCCTGCCTCAGCCTTCTAGCTCATCCTTTTTTTTTTTTTTTTTTTGCTGATGTGACCATGACAGACACCGTATGGCTTGGCAAAGCTGAAAATACTTACTCTCTAACATGTGACAGAAGACTTGCCACCCCCAGGCTGGATGGCAGCACGTCCACACAGTGGACACTGCACACACACGTCAGCGGGAGGGCTGGGCTCAGTGCTGCTGCGGATGGAGCCAAGGACACAAGTGTGCAGAGGCAAGCGGCAGGACGGTATGCACAGCGTATTAGCACCTGTGCTTTAGGGAGGTCAGGGCCAGGCGAGGTGACACCCACTTGCTATCCTAGCACTGTGGGAGGCTGAAGCAGGAGGATCCTCTTGAGTCTGAGGCCAGCCTGCACTACATGGTAAGACCCTGTCTCAAAAAAACAAAACCTGGCTGAACATGTAGCTCAGTGGTACAGTGCTTGTCTAGCATGTGTGAGGCTCTGGGTTCAATCTGCAACACCACAAATAAATAAAGATAAAAAGTAGGGCCAGGGAGATAGCTCAGTAGAATAAGTGCTTGCCTGGCAAGCTCAAGGGCCTGAGTTTAATCCCTGGTTCTGCCAAAAAAAAGGGTAATTTTTGTTATATGTAATATAGTGATAATGACTATTAAAAAAAATCCAGGGCTGGTGAGATGGCTCAGTGGTCTAAAGCACCTACTTAGAACAAGCTTAGCAAAGCACAGGGACCGCGGTTCGATCCCCCAGCACCACATGCCAGCCAGCCCCGCCCCCTGGTGGGCTGAGCTGGCCACACACACACACACACACACACACACAAATAAAATTAAAAAAAATCCAAATCAAACCCAAAACAAACAAACAAACAAACAAACAAAAAAAATATGAGATTAAAATGGGCATAGGCATGGGTTTCCCACTTTTGGGAGAACCCTGACAGTAGAGAGGTTGCTGTGATGTGGGGAACTAGAGAGACTTGGGGATTCCTAATGTTCCTTTGTGCCCCTTTCCTGAGTGTTGAACTATGTATATGAATTACATATTTTAGAAATTGAACTAAAATGCATTCAACTTGTAAAAAAGGAGATTAAAGCCCCAGGGCCATTTCAAAACACACAGGAACAAAGCCCAGGGACCTCACAATGGACACTGCCACTGTCACTCGGGTCTCCCTTCTTAGGGCGAGACACTGCCCCTGTGGGGAGCAGGGGTGGGGACCCAGGGGCCTTGGCACCACTAGTCTAGCCCAGGGGCCCAGCGGGACGTCCTGCCCTGGGAGCATCTTCTGGTAGTTTCCTGTGGGACGCGCACTTGGAGTCAACCTTCTCCATGGCTTCTCTGCAGCTTCCCTGCTTGTGTGACTGCAGTGCCTGCTGCCTGGACTCGCTTGCTCAAGGGAATGGTGTATAGACCCTGCACCCAGCTTAAAGGTTCCTCCTCCAAGAGACCTCCATCAAGTACCCAGCAAAGTGGCAGGTGCCTTGTCACAGTGCCAGCCTGCAGCCAGGTAGATGGGCCCAGCCCGAGACCCTGGTGGTTGCACTCGGCCACACCCCCAGCCGCTGCCATTGTGGGGTGGGGGGAGCTGAGGACAGGCATGGGAGACACACTGGATCTGAATGGCCACAGCCACCTGTTTTCAAAGTCCGCCCAGACTGCCCATCACTCTGCAATCTCTGAAGCCAGGGTAGGCAGGGCACTTGGGGCCAGGCTGGGTCTTGGGGCCAGGGACGGAGGTGGTGCAGAGGGTATGCACGGTGCTTGCTGTGGCTGGGACAGAGCGGTGAGGCAGAGAGCCGCAGGGGCAGGCAGCTTTTGCCACCAGCCTCAGCTTTTCTGCCTGGCTAGAGACACTGATTGCAGCAGCTCAGCCTGGAGACCTGCTCTAGTGCGCAGCCCCCACTTCCTGTGGTCAGGAGACCCAGGGAGGCGGCTCCCTTGGCGTGGACGCCCTCCTCTACAGCCGCTGGTTTATTCTGTGAGACCCTCTGTGTTGCCTCCCCCGGGACATCCTTCTGCCCCCTGAAGTCTGCCTCCCCGCCCCGTTTGAGTGTCTGTCTGCATTCTCCACCCCATGCAGTCCTGCAGGGAGCTCACAGCCAGGGAGGGGCCCCAGCCCTCCCAGACACACACGTGAATGCCCCCTTCCCTTAGCCGACCCCGCCAGGCAGACGGCCCCTCACCTGGTTAGCTTTCTCCAGGTTCGTCATGATCAGGCCGACTTCATCTGCCCTAAGACACAGAGGTGAGGCCCTGAGGGGGGCTTCTGGCAGCCACCAGGCCCCTGAGCCTCACCCCGGCCTCTGGCCAAGCCTGGGTCTCACACTGGGGGTGCCAAGGAGGCCACCATTCTCCCACACCACAAGCAGCCTGGCCTCCTGTAGCCCCAGGCGTCTGATCGAGGGCACCTCCCTGGCCTGCACCCCCATACCTCCTACAGGGACCTTCTCTTAGAGAGCAGCCCAGCTTCCTCTGGCCTGTGTGCATGGCATAGGCTCTCGGCACAGCAGTCCTCTCCTGCCTCACCCTGAGAGCCACCTGCCCGGTACCTGCCGAGGTCAACCTGTCCTCATCACCCCTGTGTGCCCCATTCTTCTCTATGCAGCATGCACAGTGTGCTGAGAACAGCAGTGAGTGGATGGCAGGTGCTCACTCACGGCTAGCAGTGGGCAGGTTTCCTCCTTTGTCCCTTATTGCTTGTCCCGCTCTGCCTGGGAACAAGGTCCTGATCTAGTGTTTCTCCCAGGGGCACAGCACACACTGGGAAAGCAGTAGGTACTCAATAAATGTTTGTGGATGGAGCGTTACTAAAGCCTGCATTTAGCCCGGAGTAACTACCGTGACCTGAGGTGAGGTTATGTGGTTCCTGGGGTGGGGCTGGGGGGACGTGGCTGTGTACCAGTGGCATGGGGAGCCGGGCTGCTTAGTGACATGGGGGCCTCAGGCAGAGGTTCAGTGGGAGAAGAGGGGCCCGTGGGGAGGGTGGGAGGAGGCTCCCCGCAGGGCTCACTTACTTGGATGCTGCCTCCTCATCATATTTCCTCCGCAGCTCTAGCAGCTCAGTCTGTGTAGCTTTTAACGCTGGAAGGAAGAAGCCAGAACCCATGGAAGGAGGGGGCTGAGCCTCCCTGGAGGTGATCCTGGTGACAGGTGATGGGAGCCCTGCCCTGGGAGTCCTCAGTGGTGTGAGGGACCGGGGATGCCCTGTGGGCAGGGCAGATGCATCTCTGGGCAGGAGTGGGCTGGGGATGCTGCCTGTTGCCTGGCCTGGGTACCACCCACACACTGGGTACTCTGGGGGAATTGGAGGGTGCTCATGCAAAGGCCAAGTGGGGCCATGAGGATCCACGCAGCAGTGCTTTGCCAGTTCTGCCTGATGCTCTAACCTCACCCTCCCCACTGCCACCCCTGTCCTGGCTGCCCACTTGGTGCCTGAGGGGCACTATGTGTCCTAGGGAGGTGGCCTCTAGAGATGGAGGTTGGGACTCCTGCACCCCCTTTTCACCCTTTTTGTTCTAGAACCCCTGAACTTGGCAACCCTCTGTGTCCCTGAGCCCCCACCCCCACCCTGTGGGCGCCTGGTCACCGGTCACATGCCTACCTGAATGTAGCACCTTGATTTTCTCCTCTGCCTCCCCCAGTCTGGCTGCCAGAGTGACCTGTACCTCTTGCAGGCCCCTGTGGAGAGATGGGGTGACACTGCCTGGGCCCTGCGTTGGCCTCCCCTGTCCATGACTGCACCTGTCTGTAGGGCACCCCCGCCATCTTGCTGTCTGGCTGGCCGTGTGGCCCCATTGTGGCTGGCCATGGGAAATCTCTGTCAGGGCTTCTGCAGGCTCCCAGTGGCCTTGCCTCTCTGGGCATCAGTCCCCTCACTTATGAAATGGGGTTTCTGGCAGGCGCTGCCCCAGAAGGTGTCAGGAAACATGGGGTGCTCTTCCTTTCATGTCCCTAGCGACCGTTCCTGTCCCAGCCTCGTTCCAAATGAGTGGAACTGCAGGCCCAGAATTAAATCCGCACAGATAGGGCAGCTGAACTGCAATGAGGGCGCACCCTCTCTGTTTATGGCAGGAACGAACGTGGACACTCAGCCAGCTCTGTATGGTGCCAGGAGGAAGGAGGCACGCCAGGCACTCCCTGGCTCAGCCATGATGGGGCAAGTTCCTTTAATTCTGGCTTCCCTCCTCCTCTCCCCTTCATGCTCGCTCATGTCCTGCGGCTCACGTCGGGGTGGCAGCACCCTCTGCCTGCAACACCCATCATCTCCGGGTACATTCCTGTCTGCCTGTGGCAGGCACCTACATCTTCCCTCTCTGCTTTATGGATCTTCACAGCGCCACTAATCGCTGAGCACATTATCTTCTTCATTCTGTCTGCGTCACTAAGAAAAAGTATTGTCTGTTTTGTCACTGTGGCGTCGGCAGTGCCTCGAACAGGCCCTGGAGCATAGCAGGTGGCTCCAGGAGGTGCAGAGAGAAATGCAAGGCTACCACACAACACCCGAGCCTCAGAGGTGTCTCCTGCACCACCAGGTGCCGTCCACACCTACACTCCCAGGCCCATCTCACTTCATTATTTTGTGGGATCTTTCTGGGTCTTGACAGGGTCTTGCTAGGCTGGCCTCGAACTCGTGGTGATCCTCCTGCCTCAGCCCCTCGAGTGCCGAGATTAGACACGCGCAGCCCTACCCGGCTCACTTGTTTCTGCACCAGACTGGGAGTGAAGGCCAAGGCGAGGGTCAGGGTTGTCTGCGCAGCTCGGCCAGCACCACCAGCTACTCTGCCATGTGCTCAGGTGTCTCTGTGGAGACCCCTGTAGATTTGACTCCTGCCTGTGCTCAGTTGCCTGTATGTAAAGGTCTGTGGTAGTGTGAGGGACCAGAGTCACCAATCAGTTGGAGGTCACAGGGGCCAACTGGGGGAAGAGAACGCTGGTCTTAGGGGTGCAGTATCTATGCGTCCTGGCAGTGCATACCTGATTCGCCAATTTCAGATTTGCAAAAACCAACCCTATGACTGAATTACTGAAGTGCTCAAAATACTTCATTAAAAAAAGTTTCCAAAAATTCTACTGGTTTTGTTCTCTGGAGATGCGAGGATACCACCATCACTAGCCCTATCTGTATTTACCAGATGCGGAAACTGAGGTCCAAGAGAATACTGTCAGTTCCTCAGAGCCAGCCACCGAGGCCCCGTACGGGGTTCAAGTCTGGGCCTGCTAAGCCGCAAAGCCCTCACCATGGCCCCCTCACACCTGCAGCCACAGGGGACCCCCCACCTGCCTCCCAGCCAGGCTGGCAGCAGCAGCCCAGTGTGGCCTCCCTCCTCACTTTTGTTTCTCAGCCTCATTTCTCTGCAGCAAGGTTTCGGTCAGGAGGGCTTTCCCAGCACCACCCGGGAGGCGGGTCCCCTCGGTAGGCGTGGGCCCGGCGGGGGTTGGCCCTTCTTTCTGTTCTGCAGGGAGAGAAAGAAATACCATTGCCAAAAGCAACATGACAGGCAGGGAAGTTTCTATAAACTGGAGTAGTTGATGGATTATTATTGATTTCCCAAACTTGGACACTGGAGTAAAGCGGGTGTTGATACCCCTAGCCCACGGCTGGCACACGCACGGGCTCAGTTTCCACCACGCTGGCCTTGGGCAGCACCCCTGGAAGCTTCCTTGGCCCACTTGAGTCTCCTTGACCTTCTTGCTTTTTAAAAAATTGTGGTAAAATATGTATAAAATCCACCCTTACAAGGGACATTCAGCATGTTCATGACATTGTGTAACCATCACTGCCAATTCTAGACTTTTGTCACTCTTCTCTTCCTAGTAAGCTTTTTTTTTTCTTTTTGTTTTTACTTCTTTAAGACAGGGTCTCACTATGTAGTTCAGCCTGTCCTCCCTATGTAGCCCAGGCTGGCCTTGAACTCATAGTGGTCCTTCTGCCTCAGCTTCCCAAATGTTGGGATTATAGGCATGCTTTACCATGCCCAGGTTTTCTGCTGTTTTGTGGTAATGGAGATAGAACTCAGAGCCCTACACATGCTAGGTCAGTGCTCGACCACTGAGCTGTGTCCCCAGGCCTTTAAGAATTTTGAGGCAAGGTCTTGCCAAGCTGTCCAGATTAGTCCTGAACTTATGATCCTCCTGCCTCAGTCCCCTGAGTAGCTGGAATTTTAAGTGCACACCACAGTCCCTGGCTTAAAGAACTGTTCATTTCCCCCTCCCCAGACCTTGGTGACCACCAACCTGCTTTCTGTCCCTGTGGGTTTGCCTGTTTTGGACTGGTCCTGTTGGGTCACTTCCTTTACTCAGCATGATCCCATGGTGTGACACTCAGGAGGGCCTGAACAGTGCCTGGTATGCAGGCCCTGAACAGCCAGCAGCGAAGTGGTCATGGGCCTCCCGGAAATGCTCCCCACTAGCCCCCCCTCAGCCTCATCCACCAAGGTGAGTATCAGGTTGGATTTGTTCATCACCCCCTTGCTTTCAAAAATGTTTATCCTGGGGCAGGGGAGATGGCTCAGTAGAATAAGTGCTTGCCTGGCAAGCATAAGGGCCTAAGTTCAATCCCCAGTTCTGCCAAAAAAAAATTATCCCTGGGCTAGGGAGATAGCTCAGCGGCTTAAGTGTTTGCCTGGCAAGTGCAAGGTCCTAAGATCAATCCCTGGTACCACAAAAAAAAAGTTTATCCCTATGTTGGGCACAGTGGCACACGTCTGTAATACCAGTTACTTGAGAGGCTGGGGCAGGTGGATTACAAATTCAAAGTCAGCGTGGGCATCTTAGCAAGATCCTGTCTCAAAATATCTCAAAACAAAAAGGTCTAGGGATGTGGCTCAGTGGTGGAGCGCTTGCCTAGCATGTATAAGGTTCTGGGTCCCTAGTACTACTACCACCACCAAGAAACAAAAAACCAGAAACATCCGTCAGTGTATATCTAAGTGCTAGTTTTTGCTCTGTTATAGTTGCATGGTAGTTAGAGGAAGGGCACTGTGACCCACATGGTCCTCCTGTCCGGCAGGACCATCTGCAACAGTGCAGCTATCACAGCACTCTTCCTCCCTGATGGCAGTCTGGGTGCAGTTGAGTGAACCCTGTTTGCTCACTGGACATCTGGTTGCTCCAGCCTGTGCTACGGCAAGGCCTGTGGCCAGCATCCCACTCACCCTGTCCTCTGGGCACTGTGCATCTCCAGAATACACACTGAGGAGTAAATGTGCTGGATCCTAGGCAGGCCCATCTACAGCCTTACTGGAGGTAGATTTCCAGAGTAGAAATGGGGAGTGGATAGAGCGGCTGCTTAGAGTCCTACTACCCCAACATCTTGGCAACCCATGGCACCATCAGACTCACTGACCAATGGCCATGACTGGGAGAGGACCTGCCCTGGCCATGCTGTGTGGGCCACTACGGCCCCCATAAGGGACCTATGTAGGAGAAATGCCTGCATGTGCCTTTTACTTCCTGTTGGTGGGGCCAGGTACTCCCCTAATGGAGAGCTGGGCATGCCTGGCCCAGCCCTGGGGGTCTGTCACCGCAGCAGCAGTCCCCTAGGCATGGCCCACCCTTCCCACGTGTTTTACCAGGCCTGGGAAGGATTGGGGGGGATCCGGACCTGCCTTTCTGAGGGTAGCCCTGCGGTCCCAATCCCAAGCATGCCTGCCTTTATGGCTGGCTGGTGCAGAGCCTGGGGGCCACCCTGAGAGCCTCACACGGTCCCCTGAGCCAGCCCTGTTCTGTGAGGATTAAGTGCTGACTTCCAACACTGGCTACTTAAAGCCTAGTTCTTAATGAGCCCTGATCAAGGCCCCAAAGCACAATCACATATTCCTACTTAGAAGCAACCAAGGACTCCAGGCTTCTTGGTGCCCACAACCATCAGCTCAGAGTCTAGATCCTTAGAGGCAGAAAAGCACAAGGGATACTGCCCAGAATCTGTCACCAGCTCAGAACACCTGAAGGCTCCAGCTCGTCTCCCCTGGCCTCTTGTTCCCTCCAAGCTGCTGCTCCTGAACACACTGCTGAACTACATTTCCCAGCCTCCTTTGCAGCTGGCTGTGGCAGGCTTGGTTTTGGCTAACAAGAGTGGTGGTGGTAGAAGGAATACCTTCGTGCCCGGGCTTGAGCCCCACACACTTAGCAGTGACCTCACATTCTTCCTCTGCCTGTTGATAGGTGGTCTACATTCATGGGGACCAGATGCTACGTGGAGAAGACAGAGAAGGTCCATGGGTCCCTGAGTGACAGCGCAGAGCACTTCTGCCACCTGTAGTGGCTTCAGCAATAGTGATGCCTCAACCTGCTTGTCCCCTGCAATAGTGAAGACTGGCTCCCTGCCTCTCTCTGCAGCTGCCCTCAAGGGTGGCCCAGTTTGAAGCTCCATAGCCTCGGGCTTTGTACAAGACACGCGATGAAAGTCTTTGGTTCCCCATGAGGGTCTTGTCTGTACCTTTGGGACTGAGAAGCTCGGGGTGCCTTTTCCACGAGGTGGGAACGTCTCGCCGGGGCTGTCCACTGGAGTCGAAGCTGGGGGGCTGCAGTCTGTCGTCCAGGCTGCGTGCCACCTCAAATGCAGGCACAGGGTCTGCAGAGAAGGAGAGAGCTGGGAGGATGGGGTGGGGTGTGATGGTTCAGGCCATGGGGCTGGGCACAATCCACATGAGCCACCTGCAGTCACTGACAGCTCAGGGACAGTGCAGACTTCCTGCTGCACAAGAGCAGCCCTCTTAGGTCCTGCCCGGGGCATATGTGCCTGCACCAGGGTGAGTGTCCTTCCCATGTGGGGATGACAGCAGTAACAGATGTCATCGTAACTGCATTTTCTTGACCTGGCAATGCCATCTGTGGTGGCCGCGGGACTGTGCCCACAGACCTCCAACTGTTCCGAGCTGCTACACTCTGAAACCATCTCTGAAGCTACGCCCACCTCCCTCAGGCTCCCCCCCACACAGGGAAGCCAAGGTAGGACCACTCTGCGGGCCCTCTCCAGCTCAAGGCCTCCCTGTAGCTGGTATGAGCCAGCCCCTGCCTGCCTGTCCCCAGGAGTCAAACATGCCATGTGGCCTGTGGCTCAATTCTCTTGGCTTCCTCCCTCTTGCCTTCTCTCCCTCCCTCGTGGGGCACCTGGATGACACAGTACTTTGTGATGTGGGCTGTTAATGACAGCTTTACTGGAAGCAAAGTCCTCACCTTGATGGGAGGCATTCAGATATCCCCTTGATAACAGGCTAAGAAAACAGCTCCTCTTTCTCCTTTCCACTTTGAGGCCAGCCCCAGGGTGTCCCCAGGACACCACTAACTCCCCACCCAGGGAAGGTCCAAGTGTCCCCTGGATGATTCCTGAGCTCAGGTCAGCAGCAGTTCCCACTGTCCTCACAGCGTCCCCTGGAGCTGCCTTGACCCTAACCTGTTTTCATGGATGAGGACACAGGCTCATGGGAACCGGGTGCTGCGGATGTGACGGGAACCCGGTTCCCCTGCTCTGATGGCGCGAAGGCTTCTGTCCTGGTATGTGCCCATTACAGCCCCAGCAGCTGCAGACAGTATTCATGGGGCCTCCTTGCCCCAGACCACAGGGCCTAGGGTCTGTTCTACCTTTTTCTGACTCTCTGGATCTCTCTCCTAACATCTCTTGCCACCATGTGTTGGCTGCCACAGCTCTCTACTGAAGGGCAGAGGGATTCAGAGGATAGACCCTGGGGTCAGCTTGTCTGGACTCTGGTCTAGTCCACACTTGCTTCTTGGCATTGCTGTGTGACCTTGGCCAGTCCCTCTATCTCTCTGTGCTTTCCCATAAAAGTAGTAATTTCTCAGGATTGTCCTGAGGATCCAGGAATACACCTCCTCCACTCCTGCTTCAGCTGGTTAATACTTGCCTCCCATTTTGCAACTCAAAGGCTACCTCCACTAGGAGGCCCTCTGTGATGAGGCCAACATGAGCTCCCCCAGGTCCCCACAACCTTCTGCAGCCCTGGGCTCCCTGTAAGGCCACCAGGCTACAAACTGCACCAGGGCTGCCTCTAGTTTCACTCCCCCCCTAGACCCTTCACAACCAGCATAGAGCCTGACACAGCCCGCCACAGTGCATTTTGGCTCATAGAAGACAGGGTAGTGCCTGTACTCGGGGGGGCTTCAGGTCCAGCTGGAACAAGGTGGCCTTTCACTTCGTTCTTCTGTCTGGTCTGTTGAGGCGGCAGGAGGCTGGACAATGAGCTTGTGCAAGGCGAGCAGGTGCGGCGGAGCGTGGCGGTGCTCGCCTCCGTCAGCAGCCCCCACGCCCAGTCATTAGGCAGGGCCTGCTCATCAGGGCTCGCCATTATGTCTCCCCGGGCTGATGTAATTATACATTGACATAATTAACCCAGCGAGCGCATTAGGCAGGCCAGCTAAAAATTCATCTATAATTATTTGTTGTGTGCATGCTAATGAGTCCATCTGCACTGCCTTTGTACAACACGAACAAATTAATTTACAAGTCTGGATTTTTTAATAAGTTCAAGGAATCGCTTCCTATAGTGTCTTGCTTTTTTTTTTAGAAAGGAAGAAAAAGGCGGTGGCACTTGTGAGGGTCAGGGAAGTTAGGTAAATGTGGGAGGCTGTAGGTTGGAGTGGCCATGGCCAGCTCACCCTGAGACCGGAAGGAGGGGGAAATTCTAGTGGGGACCAGGGGCCCTGTTAACCATGGTGAATGATTACCTTGGGACAGGACAGGGTGCCTGTCACCTGCCCTTCTCACAGGGATGAGCTACTGACATTCCATCATGCTCCAAGACACTCAGGTCTTTTGTGGCTGGCTTGTGTGTCCTGTCCTGGGAAGCTGCCTTAGTGGCTCCCAGGGAGGCTTGGGATCGGATGGGGTCCCCCCATCCAGGTTCGGTGGGTTTCAAGGCTCTGCTTTTTGCCCTGTTTGTTGGTGTAAAAGATGGGTGTGAAGCTCGCAGAATCTGAAATTCAGCCCTGGGCCTACAGGGCCTCAAGCCTCAGTTTCCCTACCTGTAGGATGGGAAAATAACACTTGCTACCTCCTAGGAGTGACTACAGGGAAATCAGAACAGCTACTGAGAGAGGCTGTGTGACTGAAGGTCAGGTGCCAGCCCTGGCTCCTGCAGGCCACGTGGCCTCCGGACAGCATGTGGGTGACCTACTTATGTACAGTGCCATGAGGCCTGGGGAGGGATTGGGCACAGGGCTAAGTGCACAGCACGGCTTGCTGCCCGCAGAGAAGGCAGAAAGTCAGAGCTCACCTTGCTGGGAGCTGCCTGTCCACTGAGGGACACCCCACAGGGTCTGGGGGTGGGGTGTGGCTTCATGTGGGCACCAGGCCCCTAATCTTTTTTTTTTTTTTTTTAATGTATTTGAAATAGGGGCTCACTAAGCTCAGACTCATAGTGATCCTCCTGTATTCAGCCTCCCCAGCACTGGGATTACAGACGTGCGCCACCATGCTCAGTCTCTGTGGCCAGCTCAGCACACCTGGGGGTGGGGCCAGTGTGGCACGTGGTGCCAGGGATCAAACCCCAGTCCTTGTGCTTGTCTAAGCAGGTGTGTAGTCTACTGAGCTATCTCGCCAGCCCTACGCCCTTAATCTTGTCTCAGACCAACACCACTCAGGAACCTGAGGAGTCCAGCTGTGAGAAAGTGCCCCCAGAGAGGGACCTGGCTGCTGAATTTGTCCGATGTCTCCCCCATTCCAGAACATATATGGGACAGGTAGGGTGTGGTAATGCCTGATGACATCACAGGTTTGGTGGCAGGGCAGAACTGGGCCATAGAGCACTTTCTCCCACACGTGCCTGCCCCTCAGTTCCTGAATTTGAGGGAGGAAGGGTGCATGCAGGGTGCTGTGGCTGACTCTTGGCATCTAAGCTCTTTATACAGACTTTTATCACCACCACAGGATGAGGGAGGCACTGATTGTTGTGGCCCTGTTTCATGGGTGGGGAAACTGAGGCACAGGGTGGCAAGTGTGGCATCGAGGGCTGGGCCACATTGAAGACAGGTGAACAGGGGATTCTTGAGCACCTCCGCGGGGTCCTATGGAGTGGCACACCACAGTCCTCCGGGGCATTTGTCTAGCATCTCAGGCCTCCATCCTGGAGGCTGGAGAATCCGGCATTCTGTGCGTCCCTCCCAGGCCTTGGGGTGAGCAGGCAGGGATCTTCACAGCTCGCTGTTGGACCTCCTGTTTCTCCCCAGCGGACCAGAGTGGATGTGCAGTTCTGATTCCCTTTCAGCTTGCAATGGGGCTATAAATCAAGGTGTCCCGCCTTCCCATGGTGAAGGTCGCCAGTCATACTGCCGCCTTAGGAATCTGAACCCCTGCACACAGCTATGGGTGGCTCTGGCCCTGTCAGCCTGGTGGTCCCACCATTCTTCCCACCCTCAGCGCCCTAATAAATCCCTTTCCTGCTTAAGAGCTTGGTCAGAGTTGGCTTCTGCTGCATGACACGAAAGAGCCCTGATCGATGTACCCGACAAATGATTTTTGACAAAGGGAGATCTGAGCAATCACTGCTCCAACAGGCTCATTTCAAGCCTGAGCAAAGATGGGGGCAAAGAGTAAAGGGATTGAAGAGTGAATTTCTGAAAGAATGTGGCCACCAAATACTTCAGAGCTTTCCCAGCCAATGCCACAGATTTAGGGGACAAAAACAACCCATCTGGCTTGGCTGACTCTCAGGGCAGCAGGACATCTGGACTCACATGAGCCTCAGTAAGAGAAACGGACGAAAGGGATCCCAGCGATCTGGCACGTTTACTGGCACATAGTAGGTGCTTCACAATTCTGCTAAGTGCACAGGACTAGCAGTCCTCTGGGTCGCAAAAGGGGAGCTTGACTTGGGCAGAAGATGGATTAAAGCAGGCACAGGAAGAGGGAGGTGCGCTGGGGCATCCATTCTGTGGCAGAGAGATCTTGGCTTGAACCCCCCCCCCAATGTGGGGTCTCAGATAACCATTTTGCCACCAGAAGCCTCAGTCTTCCTGTCTGTGGAATGCAGACACAACATCTACCAAAGCTACTATAAGGGTCTGCTGAGAGCGGTTCTGCAGAGTGACTAGCGCAGTACTCAAGCATGCAAGAGTGCAGGGCCGTGAGAGCCCCTCTTACCACATGGCCCCACTGTGGTGACACTCAGGGCCTGCTGTGTACAGCTGGGCCAATGGTGCACAGAACAAAGGTCCTCATGGGGGTGACACCCCCATGTAGATTTACGTAATTGGTACTAAATCTCTGGGCAGATGCAAGTGATTTGGCTTAAGGATGGGCTACCTTGCTCTAACTGGCTCCAGGCAACCAGGAGGCGTAAGGCTTGGGCAGCCCCTCCTGGACCACAAGCACAGCTGCTCTGGGCCCTGTCTTCATCCTCATAACAGCACAGCCAAGGATACATTGCTGTCGTCCCCATCTTCCTAACAAGTAGGCCCAGAGAGGAGGTATCATGTGTCCAAGTCATCCAGCTCAGAAATGCCAGAGGTAGAATTTGGACTCAGAGCTGGGTGACTCTTAAGGCAGGAGAGGGGGTGGAGGAATTGGATTTCTTGCTTTTAGATCAGAAGTCTGGGATTCAGGGTTGAGACTCTGGA